ATGATACAATTTATTTAAACTCAAGAGAAATAACTTGAATTTACTGGAAAAGACATTTTATAATCATAGAGTTATGAAACATTATCCTATCTTGATATAAGAGACAGGTACCTCTCAAGAAAAGCAAAAAATGCTATATTTCAAAGGCAATACTTGGAAAAAGAAAAGAATTATTCAAACTGCTAAGAACTTGATTTTTGAAATTTCTTAGCAAAAGTATTTGTTGCTTGTATTTAAGTACCGGGACTTTGCCTAGCACATGGAAAATGTGAATTAGAACTTGGGATTCTCTCTGACATTTTAATATTTTTAGGTTAATTTAAGATTAAAACAGGACCAAGTGTGGTGGCTCACACCTGTGATCCCAGCATTTTGTGAGGCTGAGGTGGGAGAATCACTTGAGGCCAGGAGTTTGAGACCAGCTTGGGCAACATAGCAAGACCCTATCTTGAAAAAAAAAAAAGAAATGAGCCAGCCATGCTGGTGCGTGCCTGTAGTCCTAGTTACTCGGGAGGTTGAAGCTGGAGGATCGTTTGAGCCCAGGAATTCGAGGTTACAGTGAGCTATGATTGTGCCACTGTACTCCAGTCTGGGTGACAGAGTGAGACTTTTGTCACCCTGTCTCTGAAAAAAAAATAAAAGGTTTGAGTAAACATCTACATAAAGCAGTATTAGCATTATGCCCCAAAATCTTGGTGAATAAATAAGCAATAGGTAAAATTGTAAGCTGATATAGAAGTTGGTAATATAATTTCTACCACAAAAATACAGCTGTACTGTATTACGAAAGGAAAAAGAAATACTTTTAAAGTAGAAGCTTAGTCCTCTCATATATATCCAGTAAATATTTTGTTAGTGTTTTGGTGGATATAACCGTTCCAAGACCAGTAAGAGGCCTGCACCTGAATCCTGGTCCCTACTTTTGAGTTGTGTGATCTTGGGTGAGATAAATTACTGAAAAATTCCAGAAAAGGCAAAACCAAGCAAATATACAGAGTGTGGCAGTGGGGAAGGGTGCTATTTAACAGAGAGTGGTCGGGGAAGGCCTTCCTGATGAGGGATCTTAAGGAAGTGAGAGAGTAAACCATGGGGATATCTATGGGAAGAAATGCAGAATTTCAGATCTCACCCAGACCAACTAAAATCCATATCTGCATGTGCGAGAAGGACTGCTCTAGATGTGAAATGAGGGTGGCTGGGGCCAAGTGCCAGCACTGGAGGTGGTAAGTGGTAAGATTCTAGATCAACTGAAGATAGAGCCTACAGAATTTCCTCATGGATTGGATGTGGAGTGTGAGAGAAAGAGAGGAATAAAGGACAACTCTAAGGTTTTTGGCCTGAGCAGCTAGAAGGAAGAAGTTGCCATCAGCTGAAATGGCAGGTGGAACAGGAAGATCAGGGGTTCCGTTTTAGACATGTTAAGTTTGAGATAGCTGTTAGACGTCCAAGAGGAAATGTCAAGTATGCAGTTAGATATAGAAGTTTGTAGTTCAGAAGAGAGGTCTGGGCTGGAGATTAAATTTGGAAGCTATCAGTTTATACTATAATTATCAAATCTAAAATGCCATTCTTTGTAAGATACACCATTATTTTAAATATCACCAAGAAAGAAAAGAATGCTGCAGATTAAATTGAGACATGCCACTGATTGATTTGGATTTAAGGGATGTTAAAATATGGGGGAGGGGGGTGTAGCTAATATTTGAAACCATAAGACCAGAATGACATCACCAAGGAATGACGACAGTACCAAGAACTAAGCTCTGGGCCACTGTAGGGTTAAGATGTTGGGGATAAAAAAGGAACTGGCAAAAAAGTTAGAGAAACACCTGTGAAGTAAGAGGACAGCCAAGAGAGTGAGAGGCATTCTGGAAACCAAGAGAACACAGTGTTTTAAGAAGAGGGCAGTGATCAACTGTGATAAATGCTGCCACTAGATCAAGAAGGAAGAGGGCTACAAATTGATCAATGGAGTGGGATCAAAAGCTTGATTGGAATGGGGTATAAGGTAGATGGAGAGGAGAGAAATTGGGGGAAACAAATCTAGACTATTTCAAGACATTTTGCTGAAGTACAAAGAAATTGTGTGGTAGCTGGGGTCAAGCGAAAAGTTTTTAAAAATGGGATTGGCTGAATATGGTGGCTCATGTCTGTAATGCCAGCACTTAGCGAGGCCAAGGCGGGAGGATCACTTGAGGCCAGGAGTTAAAGACCATCCTGGGCAACGTAGCATGACCCTGTCTCTACAAAAAATGCAAAAATTATTTGGGCATGGTGGCAGGTGCCTATAGTCCTAGCTAATAGGGAGGCTGAACAGGAGGATTGCTTGAGACCAGGAGTTCGAGGTTGCAATGAGCTATGATCGCACCACTGCATTCCAGCCTGGGTAACAGAGCAAGACCCTATCTCTTTTTTTTTTTTTTTTTTTTTGAGACAGAGTCTCACTCTTTTGCCCAGGCTAGAGTGAGTGCCGTGGCGTCAGCCTCACTCACAGCAACCTCAAACTCCTGGGCTCGAGCCATCCTTCTGCCTCAGCCTCCCGAGTAGCTGGGACTACAGGCATGCGCCACCATGCCCGGCTAATTTTTTCTATATATTTTTAGTTGTCTGATTAATTTCTTTCTATTTTTAGTAGAGACGGGGTCTCGCTCTTGCTCAGGCTGGTTTTGAACTCCTGAGCTCAAACCATCCGCCCGCCTCGGCCTCCCAGAGTGCTAGGATTACAGGCGTGAGCCACCGCGCCCGGCCCGAACCTATCTCTTTTTAAAAAAAAAAAAAAAAAAGTGAGATAAATGATAGCATATTTGTGTACTGATAAGAATGGTTCAGAAGAGAAGAAAAATGCAGTGGAGAGAAAGAGGAGAAATGAATCTTAAATAGATAGCTCAGAATGGATGAGAGGGGTAGGATAGAGTACACGAATGGAGAAACTGCCTTTAGATGTGAGCTTGAACAGTCCAGAAGAATCAGGCAGAGGGCAGAGTATGTGGTAGAGTTTCTGGCAGTGGTCACCTGTGGGAACCTGTGGAAGTTTTCTTCTGATTGCTTCAATGAGTCTGTGCTCATCAGCCAGCTTTGTGGCATACCTTGCCTCTCATGTGGCTTACCAGTGGAGAGGGGATGTGCTTGACAGAGATTACCAGCATCTTATTTCATTCCCTGATTTTTTTTGCTTTATTCCCCTGTGAGCTTCTTTAACATGAGTCTTAATCTCCTTGCAATAAGATCAAGTTTCTTGGCCTGCAGGGCTGAGATCATGGCTTTCTGACTGTGATCAGTTCCCCAAGGTAATGTTAGCTAAGGAGGTCTTCAGGTAGCCAGCCTGCTGACCTTTTTAGGGACACTCTTACCACGGTTTCAATAGTACATGTGTAAACAATTAAACAATGGTGTGAGATAGTATATCCTTGTTGATTACGTTTTATAAACAGTATGTGCTGCAGGAGTTCAAGGAAATGAGAAATCACTGAGGAAGAGTGGGTTTTCAGTGGCATGATAGATAAATAATGAGTTGAGGAGAGAGAAAGGGAAGGGATAGTTCAGGCAGGAGAACCAGAATTAGCAAAGACATAAAGCAAAAATTCCCCAGGTGGGTTTGGTAACAAGAGGCCAGCCAGTATGCCCGGAGTCATTATTGATGCTCAGTGTTTTGTTGGTGAAGATGTTAGCACTGTAAGAGAGATGTTTGTGGAAGGAGGAGATCTGATGTATGTTCTGGCAGCCTGCTTCCTCCCTCACCTTTGTCTGTAGCCTTTCCCCCAGAAGGACTGCTGGGAGCTGTCAGGGAGTGCATTTCGGAAGTAAAGGTCTTTCAGAAATAGGGTCTTGGCAGACAGTTGAAATTCTCTAGAGTGGTTTCTTTTATGGTGTTTGTGATGGTTGGGAATTGTTTAAATTCACAGAAATTAACTGTGTTTTAAATTCCTGTGTAATAATTTTGTTTACATTATTTTGCAAACAGGTAGTAGAAGATAATCTAAGTCATTCAGACTGGAGTAGTGAGCCTGGGCTACTAAGTGATGTTAGCTGTCCTTTTGCTGAAAGTGGAGCAGAGTCACAGTCTGACACCTACAGTCAAAAGCCTTTCCCCATCAGCAGCAGAGCAGCACAATCAGGTAAAAATGAGAACCAAACTGTTTAGAATTTTAAAGTTAGTACTGTCTCTTAAAAATAATTTAGTCTAATCTCTTGATATTCCAAGGAAGGGGAACTTGCTCTAGCAAGGACACATGACTACTGAATCACATGGCTAAGAGAAAGGCAAATTAAATGAAATCTTAGTGCAATTTTTTTTTTTTTTTTTGTGAAACGGAGTCTCACTCTGTCACCTGAGCTAGAGTGTCGTGGCATCAGCCTAGCTCACGGCAGCTTCAAAGTCCTGGGCTCAAGCGATTCTCCTGCCTCAGCCTCCCGAGTAGCTAGGATTACAGGCACACACCACTACACCTGACTAATTTTTCTATTTTTAATAGAGACCGAGGTCTCGCTCTTGCTCAGGCTGGTCTTGAACTCCTGACCTCAAGCGATCCTCCCACCTTGGCCTCCCAGAGTGCTAGGATTACAGGCATGAGCCACTGCACTCGGCTAGTGCAATTTTCTAAAAAGCACATTGTCTCCATGTATTTTTGTGTGATTTTAAAGGGACACAAAGAGTAAGTGGATCCAAAAGGAGGTTCACTCAAAAAAGATCATGTGTGTGTGAGCTCAAAATTTTCAGAGAAAAGTTGCAGCAGAAAAAAGTGATAACTTAACCAATATGGTAAGATAGACAAGAGTCAAAGATGATACGCCCAATTTCTAAGCATGTTATATGTGTATGTCTTACTTTCTGATTTAATTCATAACTTAAAATAGATGAATATATTTAAGGTTATAGATATAGACGTTCTCCCTAAAGCATTTATTCATTTTAGTTTTTCCTTCACTATGTTTTTTTTTTGAATCATGGTGGAAAACAGACTTCAGAGAACAGACCAGGCTTTGATTATAGATTACATGAATCTTGATGTGTACTAATAGAGTTCTTTGGGAAATAGCTTCCAAACCACCTGATGTTAGGAATTGTTTATTGTTATCTGGGTTAAGTGTAGTTATTTATACTTTAAGCCAAGTTTAAGGGGGGAAAAAAGAGGTATAGTTATATAAAATTTTCACCATAACTTTTCTTGAATGGGCTGTTGCTCTGCAAGCCTCTTGCCCTCCAAAGATTAAAAATTCCTTTTGTCAGTGTATCAGCATTTCTTGCTGGACTGCACAGTGACACAGATATCAGATGAGTTACTTTTTGTGTCCAAAGAAGTAAAGTGTTAGAATCATAGAATAGTTGAGCAGCAATGAATCTCTGGAGTTTTTTCTCCGTGTTTTCAGGCAAGCCAGAACTCAAACAGTCCCAGAAGACTGACTCTAAAATCATCTGAACCTTTTTAAAAAAAGATGTTAATTCCTTTTAAAGGATCATAATTGTTTTGTTTACCTATGTTAGGGTTTTTGTTTGCTTGTTTGTTTTTTAGTAAATCATGGTCCCTGGAGCTTGCTTTTAGTTTTTACATTAAAAGTAATTATTAATATAACTCTTAGTACAAAACTATAAAATACAAATGGTCACAAAGAAAATAAAACCACCAGTTATTGTACCACCCAGAAAGAATTTTATTGTTTTGTTTTGCAAAAATGTGAACAATTTTCTTCTTTAAATTTCTAAATCAAAATTTTTCATGCATATAATTCAAATAGTTCTATAAGTCTTACTATGAAAAATTGCAAATATAAAAAATTTTTAAAGTTATAGTCCACTCTTACCCCAAATGGTCCTATTCCCAAGAGGCATTTATTTTCCGCTGTTTTGTAACTTCCACATCTCTGTATCTCATGCTTCTACTAGTACATCTTGATTTCTGATTCAGGACATTAGCTGTTGAATTCCCACTGTTGAAGATGAAGTCTCAGCTCTTTTACACATTCCTCCCTGCCCCTCCTCTGCACATTGTCACCAGTTCATGATTGTGCATGTCTCATTCTCTGTCTTCTCAATATAATTATAATTTTTTACCAAATTGATATTCGGTGCTTAAATTATTATAAATGTATAAATGCCATATAGAACTGAGCCATCCGTGTAGCTTACTGAGATTACTTTTTTTTTTTTGAGACAGAGTCTCGCTTTTTTGTTGCCCTGGCTAGAGTGAGTGCCGTGGCATCATCCTAGCTCACAGCAACCTCAAACTCCTGGGCTCAAGCGATCCTCCTGCCTCAGCCTCCCGAGTAGCTGGGACTACAGGCATGTGCCACCATGCCCGGCTAATTTTTTTTTTTTATATATATTTTTAGTTGTCCAATTAATTTCTTTCTATTTTTAGTAGAGACGGGGTCTCGCTATTGCTCAGGCTGGTTTCGAACTCCTGAGCTCGAACAATCCGCCCGCCTCGGCCTCCCAGAGTGCTAGGATTACAAGCGTGAGCCACCGCGCCTGGCCCTGAGATTACTTTTTCTATATATCCTTTTATTTTCCCAGAGTTGATAATTGTTTTGTTATTCATTTAGTTTTCTATTTATCACTAATCTATAATTTATTACTACTGTGTCTCCACACTTCCTCTCAGATCTAAAAATCTCTCAATACTTTAGGTATTCTATCAATTTCATCTTCTGGAAGAAATCTCTCTGGAGCTTCTGACCTGCTCCTATCTAGAATGATGTCTCTAGACCTGTGGCCTGGCTGACTTTAGGATCTCCCTTTACCACCATCCTGAGATTCTATCACTTCTCTTTTGTTGAATTTTTTATTTCCTGGATCCCATTTCGTCTTCTTTCCCGGATTATGCCCTCATTTTTGTGGAGCATCTTTTCTTATTTTTCAGAAGATATTAATGATATTTCCCAACTGATTTGGTTGTCTTGGTCTCTGCTTTTTATATTAGAGGCTTTGTTCAAATGTTTTAATGAGCTTAAGATAGCCATTTTTTCCTAAAAATGGACACTAAAAAGTTGATCGAAAGCTTTGTACTGATGGTAAGTCTTGTCAGCTCTGCTCAGTATGCAAGGGTGATCTAGCTGGGTTATTTTCTTAGTGAACCTCCAGCATTATTATCTTTAAATCTTTCCCCGCTGAGCTGATCAGATTCTGCAGAGAAATCTCTTTGAGTCTTCTGTTTGGCAGGTGTGTAATCCTGGCTGTCAGTGTTCTGGGAACTGGGTGGGAAGAAGAAGGCCTGAGGGGAGTGTGTGGGGGGTTGTCTTAGTACTCAGTATGTAAACTTTCACTTAATCCTCCTGTTTTAACTTTCCAACTGTACATGTGACTGGCGTGCTGTATACCAGAGACCCTTCTCTCTGGAGAAGAAATTTCTAATTTTTGGCCAGGATTGGGGAAGGGTAGTCACTTGGCTGCATGGAGTTGGGATAAGAATCTGGATATCTAACTGCTTCTTAAGACTTTCAAGCAGTCCTCCTGGTATTAGTCCTGCCTTTGTCCAGTTTCAGGAGTACCTGGTTTAGCCAATTCCTGAGCCTTCTTTAGGAATCTCCAGTGAAAATTACTGTTTGGCTTTTCCCACAAATAGCTTTGGATTTAGCTTTGGCAGGACAGCTAAAACAGTAATCACCTGTCCATATGCTTTATAACTTCTAAAATTTTATTGCTGTTGTCTCTTTTTTATTATTTGTTCTTAGGTTTATATGTTTTAAAAATTCCTTTATAATAATTTTTGTGGTGGGAGAGAGCAGAGGTTAAGGTGTTTTCAATCTGCTATCTTTACTGGAAGTCCTTACATGTTGTAAGGACTATACAAAAAAGTATGCATATATTTTTTTAAACAATATTTTATGGAAATCTGTGTCCTTATATATTTTAAAACAGTGATCCTTAAACTTTAGCATCCATCAGAATCACCTGGAGGGCTTATTAGAACACAATAATTTGCATTTCTGAGTTCTCAAATGATATGTACACTGCTGGTTCAGGGAATATACTTTGAGAACCACTGATCTAAAGCATTATGGAAATTATGTAGTATACCATTGTATGGAATTATTTGATCAAACTTGTGTTACTGGCACTTAGGTTGATATAATTTTTTTCGTATTATAAACAGTGCTGCCACAACATTCCTTAACCCTAAATCTTGGCATGTCTTTAAAATCATTTCATTAGGATGAAATCTTAGAAGTAGAACCGTTGGACCAGTTTGTCATATTGGGTTTATACTTTGTGCTAGGGACTGTTCTGTGCACTGGGGACACAGTGTTGAGCGAGACTGCTTTCTAAATGTTTATATTGTAGTGGGAGGAAATAGGCAGTAAATACACAAGTAAAAAAGAAAATTTGAGTTACTGATAATTGCGTTTTTATATGAAGAAAGGATTTACAGGATTTGGAAAAAGGGATTTTGAGGAATGATTTCCAGAGTTTATGTCCAAAAAGCTTAGAATTTTTCAGGGTCATTCCTAGTTCTGCTTCTTCATCTACCCTCACTCCTTAGGTGACTTCACCTAAAGCTATGGCTTTAACCAACAACCAGCCATATGCTGAAACTCTAAAATTCCTATCTCTGGTCCCACCTCTCCTCTAAACTATTGATTTTTGTATTAACTGCCTATTCAACATTTCCATTGATATATTTAATAAGATCTCACACTTAACATGTACAATTCTGACATCTTGATTTCTCTCATCAAACTTGCTTTTTTGCCGTCTTCCTTATCTTGATAAATGGCATCTCCATTCTACTTGTTGCTCAGGCCAACATTAGAATTGCACTTGTCTTCTCCTTTTCTCTCATGCTTTACATCCAGTCTTATCAGCAAATCCTTTCGACTTTGCCTTCAAAATCTGTCCAGAATCCAACCACTTCTCACCACTTGCAATGCTACCACTTGAGTTCAAGTTCCTGTCATCGCTCTCCTGGAAGAGTGGTCTCCTGTGTTCACTTCTACCCTCCTATAACTCCATTCTTCCTACAGCAACCAAAATGACCTTCAATAAATGAGGTCATATTGCTCCCATGTTTAAAACTCTCCAGAAACTTCTTACCATACTTAGAATAAAATCCAAAGTACAAATAATGACCTACAAAGCCCTATATAATATAGTTTCTTACTCTCTCCAGTATCATTTCCTATGAATTTCCCTCACCCGTGATACCCTCGCCACACTGGCCTCCTTGCTAGTTCTGCAAGTTCACTCCTGCTGATGTATTTGGTATTCATTGCAACATCCTTAAAACTTACTTCTGGGCCCAGCAAGGTGGTTCACACCTATAATCCCAACACTCTGGTTGGCCAAGGTAGGAGGACTGCTTGAGGCCAGGAGAAAGGCCAGGCTGGGAGATATAGCAAGACTCTGTCTTTACAAAAAAAATTTTTTTGAAATTTAGCTAGGCACAGTGGTATATACCTCTAGTCCTAGCTACTTGGGAGGTTGAGGCAGTAGGATCACTTGAGCCCAGGAGTTCAAAGCTGCAGTGAGCTATGATCATGACACTACACTCCAGTCTGAGTGACAGAGTGAGACCCTGTCTCCAAAAAAAAAGAGACTTTCTGAATTCATTCAGGTCTCTCCTCAAATGTCTCCCTCTCAAAGAGGTTCCTCTGATCATTCATATAAAATAGCACATCTCATGTCCTTTCCATCACTTTGTATGCCCCCACATTGCTATTTTTCTATGACAACACTACCATCTGTCAACTATATATTTTTGTTGTTTGTTTGTTGGTCTGTCTCCCATTACTGGAATGTAAGTTCCAAGAGAGATGAGATACTGTTCACTGTCATTTGCCGAGACATAGAAAAGTGGCACAAAGAATGAGCTGAATAAGTATCTGTTGATTGAATGAATGAGGATTCCATATGTCATATGGTAGAGGATGCCTGCAGGATGGGAGTGGGAGGAGGTGCTGCTTTAGCTAAAGAGTTTTTTTGTTGTTGTTCGTTGTTTGTTTTCTTGTTTTTGAGACAAGGTCTCACTTTTATTGCCAAGGCTAGAGTACATTGGCATGATCATAGCCTGGCTAAGTTTTCTATTTTTTATAGAAACAGGGTTTCACTCAGACTGGTTTGGAATTCCTGGCCTCAAGTGATGTCCCAAAGTGCTAGGATTACAGGAGTGAGCCACTGCGCCTAGCAGCTGAACAGTTCTGAAGGGGCCTCTCAAAGAAGGGGACCTGGGAGTTGAGGCTGGGGTCAAAGGAGTTACACATTTTTTGCTTTGCATTGTGATTGTTTATTCTTTTACTTTAAAAATTGTTTTTCACTGTTAAAAATTCAAATAGTTTAAATCCCTCTTTAGAATCCCATCTCATCCCACTCCCACAGATAACCCACAGTAACCCTTTGGCTGATTTCTTTCTAAAACCTTTGCTGCTCTTTATTGCCAAATTGCTCTTTGTAAAGGTTATATCAGTTGCAACCTAACTTTAAGGTATTTAAAATGCCTGTTTGGATTTTTTTGTTGTTTTTCTTTTGTTGCCCAAAATATTTGCTTCCATTTTTGAGAATCTCGATTTATCCCCTAAGAAATGGCGTCATCTGTCTGTTCTGGATCTCTTGATGGAGTGGAATACTCACAACGGAAGGAGAAGGGAACTGTAAAGATGTCTGTGCCAAGGACACTTGCTCTCTGCTACCTGTCATTACTTTGGCAGAGAGAAACAATAACACTTTCAGATCTCTTGAGGTAAGCTGCACCTCTCATATGATGTTTTTACTGATTGTCTGTGTGAATTAAGGAGACAAACTTTGGATGTTTTGAATTTTACAAGAAGGCTTAACTTGAGGATGGGCCTGGGAAGGTTGGGTGGCTTGAGTTCTAATTCTGAAATCTAATCCTTCTGGGCTAGTAATTCATTTTCTTGATTTTCTTATTTATATAGTGGAAATGATAGTACTTACCTCATATTGGCTATTGGAAAATTAATTATCTAATAAAATATTTTGAAGAGAAAAGTGACATTAAAGTATCTGAGTTGTATTAACATTTTTAAGAAAAGGTGCATAGATGATCTTTCCGTTAGCAAAATGGTTATTATTATGGTAATGCAAAAGCATACATTGATGTCACTAAGGGCTAAACTATAGGTTGTCTATGTTTATAAGGAAACCTTGAAAACAGAACTATTGGAAGAAGCTGTTATGCAGATAGGTAGTAAGCGTTTATGTTTTTCAAGATAATCCACACTTTTTACAGTTAATGAGTAAATTATGTCATTGTATGTAAGAATTTCTCATTTAATGGAAGAGGTGCCAAAATCATTAATATGTTAACTTTTTTTCCATGCTTTGTATGTGTTCTGAATAATAACATTTGGGTTTAATCAATGTGTAGAGTGCTTTTAAGAGCACAGATTTGGAACTAGACCCCTGGGTTCAAATCCTGGCTTTGCCATTTATTTATATGACCTTGAGTAAGTTATCTAATTTCTCTTTGCTTCTGTTTCCTCATTGGTAAAACGGGGCTAATAATAACTACCTCATAGGGTTGTAACTGCTTTCAATAATTAGTACTACATGAAAAGCACTTAGAACAGTGTTTGGCACACA